GCAAGGAGTCGGACACAATAGAGCTACTTTCACTTTCACTTTCAGGCATCCTAAAGAATCCTCCTGCCAACTGCAAGAGCCGCAGGGGACATGGTTTGATCCCTGGGTGGGGAAGATCCCTTGGAATAGAAAATGGTGACTCGTTCCAGTATCCTTGTCTGAAAAATTCCATGGACAGAGGCCTGGTGGGCTACAGTCCATGAGGTCACCAAGAGTTAAATGTGACTGAGCCACTGAGCATGCACACATACACATACAGGCATCCCTTAGCCTAGTCAAGTTGACACATAAAATTCACCATCACAACTCAGGACCTCCAGAATTCATGGAAGACACATGTATTAGGATCTAAGTGGTCAATGCATAACACCTCCCTTTTCCCCCACCTGTGTACATAACAGGTCTCTCTTCTCCACCCAAGTTCTGAACCAGTGGAGACAGAAAAATGAGGCAGATGGCAACACTCACCTTTGAAACCGATAAAGACCATACAGGAAGATATGGCTTAGGTATGCAGCCACCGGCGGCTTCCTAACACAGAGTTGAGGGTTTTTTTGCTTGTGCTGAATGGCTTTTTGGATCTCAGTTTCCTGACGGGAGATTGAACCTGGGCAATGGAATTGAAAACACAGAGTTCTAACCATCAGGCCTCCAGTAAACTCCCTTTATTAAAAAAATTTTTTCCTAACAGGAAGTTCAGAATTAGATGACTCACCACCCGATCATAATTATCCATGGAAAACTATAGATTTCCGACTTGTGGGGTATGCCTCTCTGAAACGTATGGAAAGTAACAGATCCAGGTGGCTGCTCCTGCACCTGGGAGAAAGGGAGAGAAAGCTGAGTGGAGAGATGCCAGGAGTGTTAGTAAAAGGCTTCTGTCCTAGGGAAGAAAACATCAGGAATGTGGAGAAACTGTTCCCCCAATACCACACTGTTTCTTTTCTTTCCTTAGGCTTCCAGACATCACCATTCAGGTCTTCAGATGGTGGCCCGGCCAGTCTGCCTCAACACTGTGGTGGATGACACAGTGGAATTTCCCCTGGAGATCCTGGAAGGAGCTCAAACTGTCTGGCCTTTGGGACTCATTTCTGGGCCCTACCTCTCCAGAAATACATGAAGGACAATTCAACCTGTTTATCTTTGGCTGTCGGTTCAGAGAATGATGAATTGATTGGTCATTTCCTACAAGTCAGCAACATAACCAGGGAACATTAAAGAAACTGCCAGGTCCAGAGCTTCACCAAACACTCCTTAGCACCTCATCTAAAGTGAGTTAGTGTCAGCAATCAAACCACAATGCCAATAAAGCATCAGCCTAGAGAAGGAGAAGAGTATAAAAGATAAGAGACGGAGAAATCAAGTCTGATTGGGAAGATAAGACCAATATACCTGAATCAAGGAAGGATAACAGACACGGGCAAGAATGCTAATGGATACAGAATTTCTTTGGGGAGGGATGACAATATTCTCAAATTAAATTGTGATGATGTTTGAACAATCCCATGAATCTACCAAAAAAAAAAAAAATTGAACTGTATGTTTATTTTTTTTGGCTGTGCCACATGACTTGTGGGATCTCAGTTCCCCAACCAGGGACTGAACCCAGGCCACAGCAGTGAAATCCCAGAATCCTAACCAGTAGTCCACCAGTGAACACCCCTGAACTATATACTTTAAATGGGTAAACTGTATGGTATGTGAATTATACCTCAATAAAGACGATTAATTTCTTTTTAAAAAGACACAGACCACTAGCTGTAGTGGACTGGGAGAAGAGAGACCAGAATTCCAGTCCTTTACTTACTGTGCCAATAACTGTGTGACCTTGTTTATAGTTGCTCGGTCACTCAGTCCTGTCGAACTCTTTGCAGCCCCATGGACTATTTCCTCTGGAGTTACTGAAAGGAGCTCAAACTGTCTGGCCTCCAGGCTCCTCTGCCCATGGAATTTTCCAGGCAAGAATACTGGAGTGGAGTGTTATTTTCTACTCCAGGAGATCTTCCCAACCCAGGGATCCAACCCACTGTCTTGCATCTCCTACATTTGCAAGCAGATTCTGTGACATTGGTCACTTTCCTTTCTCATGCCACTTTTTCCTCACCTGTTAGATGAAGGCAGTGGAGTAGATGACCTGTAATGTTCCTATCTTAGTTTCCTGGAGTTGTTGTAACAAGTTACCACAAACTTAAAACAACAGAAAGTTATTCTCTCACAGTTCCGGAGGCTATAAGGCTGAAATCAAGGTATTATCTATACCATGCTCCCCCGAGAGGCCCTAAGTGAGAACGCATTTCTTGTCTTTTCTGGGTTTGTTGCTAGACTTGTGTCTGCATCTTTCTCTTCTCTGTCTTTCCACTTGGATAATCCAGTATAAACTCCTCCTCTCAATATCCTTAATTAAATCACATCTTTTGCCATATACGGTAGCATTCATGTGTTCCAAGCAATTGACATAGATATCTTTGGGGCAGGGGGGTAATTCATATATAGATCTTTGCAAGTTTATAGGAGAGTTGAGAGAACAAACTTGAGAAAATTTTAACTGCCATACATTCTCTAAACACCTCCTTCTTCACTTCCCTTCCTTCCTAGTTCATATTTAAAATAACTTCCATCTGTATGGAATTTTATGGTTTGAAAAGTTATTATGCATTTGTCAGCTCATTGCAATCCCATAAAAACCTGTAAATTTCTTATTATCACTATAATTTCATTTCCAATGAGAAAATGGAGGGTGAGAAAGATGAAGTGACCTAACCAAGGTCACCCACCCTGGAAGGTGCCAGTGCTGGACTTGGGCCTTTGTCTTTGCCCTCCACATCCTTTGGTACCCATTCTACCATCACCTGCCTGAATCTTGGTATAGCATCAAGAGGTTCTAGACCAGGATAGGGTAGATGCACTTGAAGTAAATTCAGTTCTCCCTATTCTTCCTGCTAAGCACAGCTGCAAATCCTGGACACTTTATATAAAACCAACATAGGAAGATCTAAAAGGTGGGAAGAAGGAGGCAGACTGCCAAGGGCTCTTGGAACCCGGAGATGGACATAGCAAGAGTTCCTGGGTTTTCTTGCCTCATATATATCCTTGACTGGATGCTGGAAAACAACCTGGAAATGTCAACAGGCACAGACAAAATGAAGTCCCAAGACAAGCCTGCTTGCCAAAGGACAAGGAAAAAGGCAATTCAGCAAGACAGAAAACCTTTGGACAATCACTGCCTTACTCCAGCCAAACACCATAGAAAAAAATCATGGTCCCACTTCCAACTCTATAGGGAGGTGGAGACCCTAGGCTCTGGCCATAAGGAGGTACCCTTCCCCACACCCCATCCCTCGTCAGAGCAGTATCAGAGGAGAGAGAGTGGGGAGCCTGGGTTTTCATTCCTGCCCAGAGGTAGTGAGCTCCCCATCCGAGGTAGTAAGACACGCCTCCCCCTCTCTGCCAGAGTGTCAGAGGAGGCCGCCTGGCGAGTTTGAAATCCCACATCCACCCTGCAATAAGGAGTCACATCTCCCCTCTCCCCTGGGTGAACAAACGGGCCTGAGTGGAGAATGCGGACATTCATTCCTTCCCAGTGTTTGTGAGGTGATGCCCCTTCCCCACAACTAGCATGATGTCAGAGGAACCCTGATAAAACAGAAGATTTAAATACAATCCGGAGTCTCATTACACCGAAAATGTCCAGCAGGCAATGAAGATCATAAATCACACCAAGAACCAAGAAAACCTCATCTTAAATTTTAAAAGACAGTTGGCAGAGGCCCAAACCAAGATGATGCAGATTTTGAAATAATCTGACAAGGATTTTGAAGAATCTCAAAAATGTCTCAACAAACAACTTTAAAACAGAAAATCTCAGTGAAATAACTGAAGATATAAAGAAGAACCAAATGGAGATTTTAAAACTAGAAAATATAATTACCAAAATTAAAAACTCAATGGATAAGCTTAACAGCAGAATGGAAGGGAAGGAGAGAAAGAATCAATGAACAATGAACTTGAAGATCGAACAATATAAATGACCCAAGTTGAGTCAATTATCCAAAAAGAGTAATTTGGGTAAAAATAATACTTTCCTTCTCCTCTTGTGTTTTCTAAATTACATTTGAAAATTAAAGTGAAAAGTATAACACTGTCTAAATGTCAATTTCAAAGAATGTAGAAGAAATATTTAATAAGATTATATTGTTAATGGAGGTGGTAAAGGGACTTAAAGGGAGATGAGTTCTCTACACTCATCTCCAAATGACAATGTGAACACCAGTGGCTCTCCATGGTGATGGAATCATTCTGTATCTTAATTTCAGTTCAGGGTTGAATCTACTTGCATGATAAAATGCCTATACATATACTATATGCACACATATACTATATGCACACATTTGTTTCTAAGTCCATTTACTGGTTTTGATTTTGTACTATAGTTACACAGATTAGCCACTTGGGGACCCTGGGGAACCCTGGATGAAGGATATATGGAACCTCTCTGTATTATCTTTGTAAATCCCTATATATCTAAAATAATTTCAAAATGAAAATTTTTTATATAAAAGAGGATTGAAGGGGCAACTTCACAGGCACTTAGGGAGCTCCCATTTCACTCTGGAGGCCAGATATGAAGGGAGGTGGTGCCCAGAAGACGGAGCGTTCTGGACAGGAACCTTCAGTCAGACCCTTGCCTTATCCTCAAGTGACATCACAAAGCCTCAGAAGCCCCGCCTACCACCCAGAAGTCTTGTCAGCTGAACTACATGTCAGGCCTGTGTTTGCTTTGGAAGCAGTTGTTCAACCTTGCTGAGCAAACTGATCTGCCTGTTCAGCTACATCGGAAGGGAAATGGCCCCACGCGAGCCACAAGTTCAGCCGTTTGACACTCGTTCCTAAGCTATTACAAAGGGCAAGGCCAATTCTCCTCCTGTTTTCTTGGTCGTGTGGGCAGTCCGCTTCTACCACATATCTCAGCTGTCTTGGAGAAACCTATGTCTTCCCCACAGCTTCCAGCCTTCTTATGGGACAAGCATACACTGACCTCTACCATATCTGATCCTGCTTACCTGGTCAAAGTCCTCTTCTTCTTTACACTCCTGATGACTCTGGTCACTCTACTTATCCTAGTCTGGAAGGTAACCAAAGATGAAGGCGGCAAGAACAGAGAACCAGACCAAAGAAAGGAGGCGACACTGCTGGCGTGAAGACCTATGGTTCTCGGTGGAGACTCCATTGAGGTGAACACCTGGAGGCCAAGAGGCGGCCCATGTAGGAACTGTCTTAAAGGTAGAGCATGGCAAAGAAGAAGTGCTTCGGGCACTCCATCCCCCATGCCAGATGCTCCCCTTGGCCTCACTTCCCTCCTCTACGACCACTTCTGCTATAATTCATGTTCATTCCGCTGCTCTTTGTCTTCTCCAACTCCTGAGATTAAATGTCTTCTCTCTGTGAATCTTTCCAGACTGAAATTATAAATGGCTTTTGATTTTTGCATTAACAGATGAAAGGAAAAAGCACATGGAGGATTAAAATTCACTTACAAAGCCCAAGTTTTTAAAATTGGATATGTGTTGACTCTGGGATATTGAAATTTTGGGAAACTCAGAGCATCTCAAACTCTACAATGAAACCATAGTGGAAGCTCAGTTCCAGAAGATCCTTGAAAGTCTCACCTACCTTGAATTCTAGGTAAAATTCTCCCTCCTCCTTACCTAATTCTGGGAATAAAGAGTATTTCCTCTCAAAAAACAATTTGAAGCACCAAGTACTATTTCTCTTTTCTTCCCCATCCTCCAACTTTGTGGGTTGGCAAATTTTTGAAATAGCATATTCTAAAACCATAATTTTGTTTGATTTTTAAGAATCTTTTCTGAATTTGGAACACATTAACTTCCTTTTCAAATGAAATCTAAATTAAAGCCACAATATTTTAAAAATCCATACCCTCAGAAAACTAGGCTTGAGTACACAACCCCCGCTTTCTGGGTTGTGTACTTTGAATCTCAACCCATGGGTCATTCATTCCCTTTCAATTTAACCCATAGAAATGAAGGAGCTTGCTCACCGGTTGCTGAGGAGAGGTTACTACCCTACCAGAGCCAAGGGGAGCCCACATGCACCTCCCTCACACCTGCTTCCTCCAGGGCCTGGCAGTGATGGTGTGTGTCTTGGGGGTTGACCAACTTCAGCAGAGACTGATTACAGGTGGCCCGCAAGAGGACCCAAGGCCTCGTGGCCAAGGAAGCCGTGTCCCTCTCCCCTCTGGTAGACTGGACCCTGTATAGAGGCGGCTCGCCTTCCCTCCAAGATGACTGTCACATTTCTCAGTCCACCTTGCATGCTCGGGAAGTAGGTGGGGGTGAGGTAGGATGGAGTGGGAAATGCGGTGGGCATCTCTGGGGGGAAGGGACGGTCCGGGAAAGGTGGTCATGCCTCAGAGTTGGCAGAAAGACCCTCACCACGCCTCCTTGCCTCCAGATCTCTCTCCTATCCCGCAATGCCTTTATTCATCCAGCAGAGGGTGACTGATCTCTTGATGTGTATCAGGCTCAGGACCTGCGAGCTCGGGATAGGAGCGCCTACACTGCAGCGCCAGATGGATGCTAACCCACTGCTCACAGGGATGAACGCTTCCTTATCAACTGAGAAGAGCGCTCCGAAGAGAACGTGGCTTTGTGAGAGCGTGTACCCCAGGAAACTGACGTGGACTGGGGAAGGTCTACCTGAGGAAGTCACGGCTGAGCTAGAACTGAGGAACGAGCGGAACTGAACGGTGTGGGCGGAGGGGCACGGCCTTCTAGACAGAGGTCAGCGTGTGCAAAGGCCTGTATCAGCAGGCCTGTTGTAATAATGGGCCAGAAAGACGGTGATTCTGGAGCGCGAGAACGGAACCACATGGAGCTGGAGAGGTCTGTGGGACTGGATCTCACCACACTCCAGGGAGCAATACTAGTCAGGATGATCGTGAGGGGGATGGGTCCGTCCTCTAGAGTTCTTGAATTAACAGCGCTGTGCCTGATTACGAGACTCCTGGGCCAGGTCACTCTATGCTCCCCGGGGACCCGAAGTCACCCTCCTGCCATTTTCTTCTGCCCTCCAGAATCTCCTCCCTCCCCAAACTTCTCACGCACCCAAATCTCTTCCGCTTTATCCGAATTTGGATACGTTCAGACAAGTCAATCGGACTGCATTGTGAGCTTCTGGCCACCTGACGGCAGCAGAGAGTCAGCAAACCTGGCCCCTGCGGCAACCCCTAGACTGGGCAAGCCTCTCCTTCACCTTATGAGAGTTGGAAAGTTAGTCCCTAAGAGACGATAATCAGGTTATTTACGATAATAGGAATCTCTTATCCAGATCTCCTGGGCTAGAAATTTCATAATTTTTTGGCATCAATTATGTGCTGGCTCTTAGCAGTATTTCTTTTCTGCTTAACTACACTATATAAAGGACATTATGCCCACAGGTGGGAAGTTGAGTAAGGCTCAACTCCTAAACAGAGAGGCTGATTCTCTATCCAATGTCTCACAGCAGGGCCAGATTATCTTTCCTCTTCCCGCTGCCTCCTGCATTCATTGAGGAATAAAACATCTCCTGCTCAGAAGCATTTTTCTTTCCCTGTCAGAAGTCTCTTTGCTCCACATTGCCACTGACATGAGTTGATATTGTGCCCTGCAGCTTCCTCTGTTTTCACCTCCTCTGGCCTCTCCCCAGCACCTTCAGAGAGGTCTGTCTGCAACTCCAGGTCCTGCACTTCTAGGGATGAAGTCAACAGATAGCAGCCACCACAGTGCATCTTGTAGGAGGTGGTGGTGGTGTTCTATCGCTCATGTCCAACTCTTTGTGACCCCATGGACTGCAGCACGCCAGGTTTCCCTGTCATTCACTATCTCCCAGAATTTGCTCAAACTCATGTCTATTGTCAATGATGCCATCCAACCATCTCATTCTCTGTCACCCCCTTCTCCTCCTGCCCTCAATCTTTTCTTGTAGGTAATGAGAACCAGAGGGGAAAGGTGATGGAAAAAGATAAGACATTGCTCCCTTTTGCAGGGAGTTTCTGAGCCAGTTGTGACTGAGGGCTTCCTTGATCACAGTGCCAGGTGGTTTCTGAGAAAGGCCAGGGTTGGGGTACTAATGGAATGCTTTAAGCATTCTGAAGCCTGGTGGAACCCCTGTGGGCTAAATCAGTTGGAGGTGAGGGGCTCCCTGAAGCAGGGGAATTGTTAGGAAAATATATGGCTTGGATTTAGGAGTGCAAATTAGCATGTGATAAACATAAGAGACAGTGAGTCAACCAAACAATGCATGAAGGGAAACAATGGGAAATCAGGTCTAGAGTAGAGTACCAGCCAATGGGAAAGGGCCTTGAAGGCCAGATGAGAGTGCTGAATTTCAACTAAGGGGGACCTAGTGAGGGTTTTTGACAAGGGGAATGACAAGTGAAATAAACATTAAACAAGATTACTCTGACATAGTCATTGCGTCAGGCAAATGGGAGGAGAGAGAGACTGAGTAAGAAGACCAGTTAAAATGCCAGCTGAGTAACAGAACTTTACGAAATTTCTGGTACCTTCCTGTTTCTGTGACTTTGCTCATTCTATTCCTTCCACTTGAAATGCCCTTTTGCAAACCCTCCTTTGCTCAATAGTTTTTAAGGGAGAGTGGAATCCAGAGAGGTACATCCTAGGACTTGGTCTGAAAGCAGACCATAGAGATGAGGACCTCTGCCTCCTCCCATTCTCCTGGGCCTGAGAACCATCAGAAGGGCCTTAGGCCATCCAGAGCCCCACTCTGATTTTACAGAAGAGGCCCGTGACGCCCAGAGGGTACGTGCGGGAAACAGTGAGTGTGGAAGAGAGGCCAGAGCAGGTAAGACCAGACAAGCGTAGGGTGAAATCTCAGCTCCACCACTTCACACTAGCTATGCATCCACAGGCAAATTCTTTAAGCCAGTGGCTCTCAAAGTATGATCCTGGAATCCCTGGGGCTCCTCCAAGACCCTTTCAGGAAATCGAAAGATTGAAACTATTTTCATAGAAACAGTAAATTCTTATTTTCCTTTTTCATTCTCATTCCCTCATGAGTTTTTGAGAGGGCACATGGCCTGTCTTCTAGTAAGTCAAGAGTTAAAGAGATTCACAAAACTGTGAAAGAGTACTATTCTTCCTCCTTTCTATAATTTATGTTAACACATAAATTTGTTGTTGTTATTTTACATGAATCAATAAGTTCTTGTTAAAGTTCAGGTTAATTTCTAATATTGTAAACATGATGAACATAACCTACATAAAGAAAAGTTCCTTGGGGTTCTCCATGCTTCTTAAAAGTGTTAGAGGATAATGAAACTAAAAAGTTTGAGAAGTAGGAATTTAAACTCTCTAGGTCTTCATTTCCTTATCTGTAAAATGGGCATATTATCTCACAGGATAGTTTGAGACTTAAAAAAAGTTACTCCAGATAAAACACAAAACGTCTGCTCAAGGCCTCCTGGTATTGTGTTTCTTGAACAACGGCCTCTCCAACGTCACCTCAGATCTGTTCTTGGCTTTCTCTGGGAAGGTAAAGAATCTACCTGCAATGTGGGAGACCCACATTTAATCCCTGGGTCAGGAAGATCCCCTGGAGAAGGCAATGGCTACCCACTGCAGTATTCTTGCCTGGAGAACCTCATGGACAGTGGAGCCTGGTGGGCTGCAGTCCAGGGTGTCACAGAGTTGGCCATGACTAACACTTCCACACTTTCACTTCAGAGACCTTAGAGTCTGGGGGATGAAGCATAGTGTGGAGTATGAAGATGCTATGCTACTGGAAGCCAGTGTCTGCAGGCACAAAGTCCCCTTGCGTGCCTGAGGCAGATCCCCATACCAAGGTCAGCAAACAGTGAAAAATTCTACTGGATTGCCTTTGCCACAGAGAGAGCCCAGAAACGTTTGTGCAGCTGTAGTTCACCTCTGTCACCACCTGAGGGCAGCACGCCCCCACAAGTAGAACAGCAGAGCCCACTCAGGACAAAAAAGAAGCTTGGCCCTTTCAGAACAGAAAGTTACTTCAGAGAATGCCTCCCTTCAGAGAGTGTCTCCCTGAAACCTCTGTGACATTCGTCCAGCAACTAGTAAGGGGAGCTGACCTGCCAGAAAAGTGAAAGTCATAGTTGCTCACTCATGTCCGACTCTGGGACCCCATGGGCTATACAGTCGATGGAATT